GACTGTGCTGCGCGTTTGCTGCTCAGCACCAGATCCTTTGGATGCCATGCGTAAAGGAAGTCCTCGTAAGACTTCGCTCGTACGCGTTTGCGCAGCGTTTTGCATTGCTCGGCGTCACTAAGGCCCCTTAATTCCGCTTTCAGGTTTCTTACTTGATCCTTGCTGCGGTAGTCGGCGTTAATTTCCTCCGCATGGTCTACCATTTCTTTTAACCATTCATGGGGCATTTCTCCGGCTATARGAGAAGGCTGGCAGGGATCTCCGGCAAATATTACTTGGCACTTTCCACGGAGGAATTCTACGAATTCTTTGAGGATTTCCAAAGGCACGGTGCAAATCTCATCCCAAAGTATCACCGGAGGTATGTCGCGGATGGCTTCAGGTACCCACTTTTGACCATTCCAGCGAAAGAAGCTGTGGTAGGTCTGCGCGTCGTGGCCCTGACTGCATAGTTCCCTTTCCAAACGGTGCGTTGGCGTTAGCACTTTTAAGGCCGGAAAGAGTTCCAAGACGCGCGTCGTCTTACCGCTGCCTCCCGTACCGTACAGATAGGAGAAGCGTTGGTAGGAAATGGGGTCCTTTACGGTTGGCATGGGCCTCATTGTGGGCATTACGACGCMCCAAGTATTTTCTCCGCGATATTCTACACGTTCTCTCCATGCTTTTATCTCCTCATCTTTAACGCGCCATTGACCACTTTCCGCCAACTCATCTTCGGTGTAGAATTCCTTCATCTTCTTTAACACTTCAGGCTTTACGTACAAGGAATCCGTGGCTACGCGCGGGATGTCCTCTTTGTCAAACCGTAGGAGCATCGCAAGTAAGTTAATGTGCGCATATGCGAGCATGCTGGCACGCAGATGATAATATTGCGGTCGATGGTCTTGGTAATAACACAAAGCATTCCATTTGTGTAGTTTATCATCTACAAGGTAATCCCATTTCTCCACGGATACCATTGTTCCTTCATCATGTGCACGCTTTATAAGGAAGCTTAACTCGCCGGCGTCCGTTATTAGGCGTCGYTGCATATGTTTTTCACCCTCCTTAGCGCCCTGCGTGAATTTACCTATGACCACACGCGCTGTGGGGTTATGCTCCGGTAACCACTGCGTAAAGGCGCTGTGACAAAGTATGGCTTCATGCGCTGTGTATTTCAGGAGTTTACGCTCTTCAAAGAACTTCAATAGGGGTATGGGTATCCATTCTTTCTCC